GCAATGCATTTGATAGACCCCATGGAAACTCCCTTCCATTGCATCATGGATATGGTATACCACAGAAATTCTCCTATTGCATACTTCATATTTCACATATCCTAAGCCCAGTTTGCATCTCCCACATCCTAAACTCACCACCAGCACCTCCCCATGCTGTCTTTAGAGTTAGGACCAAGTGTGCCCAGGTTTGCCATGCTATGGGGTGCTGGGATTCCTTCCTAGGCTAGCCAAGGCCAAAGATTTGTTTCAGTTTGTGGCCTGAGGAGTTTCTTTTGTTCTCCATAAAAAGAGTTGGATTTTTTTTTTAAATTCCTTCACAAACTTTTAGAGAACCTGGCTCAAAGGTACTCACCACCATGGTGCAACCAAGGGCATCAACCCTCAGTGGACCCACTTTGTTTCAGCCTCTTCATGACATTATTCTGACAGCTAGGGGATAATGACAAGGCCCAAGACTGTACTTCAGCATCACTGGGCACATCTACATGTTCATTAATGTGCCATAGTTGCTGCACATTAAGTTTAGTACTTGTATAATTAAACACTAAATTAATGTGCAGTAACTGATGTTACTGCACAGGAGCACCAGCGCACACCTATTTAGTGACACTACTGTGCAGTAGCGTAATAATACTTTGCAGTAGGGTATTAGCACTGTTTGTGCTGTGATGCGCTACTGTGCAGTATTATTAGGTTACTGCACAGTTAGTGTCTCGTGTAGACATGCCCAGTGTAACTTTATGCTACAACGTACCTGAAAAATATAACAATAGGAGACAGCCCTCACTCCATGTTTCTGTCTAAAACTGGGGCTTCCTAAGAACAGCAGTTTTTAACTTGTAGAAGAAAGGACAAGGCTAATTTTCCCAGTGGAATTTCATTGTGCTCCTCCGGCCCAAATGCTCTGCTCATGCTAAGAGAATGGGTTTGGCACAGACTGTTCAGTGCCTCATCTACCATGAGAATTCATTAGGTGGTAAGGATGTTACTGGTGGTCAGTTCAAGAACCAACACAAGGAAGGGTGCTAAGGTCTTGAAATACCACTTAGAGTCATCTTTGTTGAACAGCCTAGAGGTTTCCTTTCCTCATCCGCATGTAATATGATTAACCATTGTTTAGGAGACATTAGGTATTATCCTGGGATGAAGCAAACATGGTGCATGAAAAGCACAGCTCAAATCCTGTTAAATAACAGAGAAAGAGAAAGTGGAGGGAAAGAAGGAGAAATTCCAAAGTAGAACTAAATTACATATTTCACCCACCCAAGCAATGGCTTGCCTGATCTGCTTTCCTTCCCAGCACAAAGGAGAAGTGCCAAGCTGTCATGCTCTATGGCAGCTATGCATAGGGGCACATACTGTATACGGCACAGACATTCATCCATACCCACAAAGCAGTGACAATTACATAGCTAGTGATATTACAGACCGCAGATAAAGTGTTCAGCCAGACCTTGCAGTTGAGCAAACATCTTCAAACGAAGCCCTATTTGTGTGCTCCTATTTCTTCTGCTCTTGGACTATGAATTTTCAATTTGGTGCAGCAAAACAACAAGGAGTTGGCATTTCCAATGTGTTGCCTTCTGAGGAAACTGTGTCTAACAAAACACTTGTGTTCCCCCTAAAGGAGATTAGAGATGTGCTGTGGTATGTTATAAACCAGACTTAAAAATAATAGCTTTTCTTCTTCCTACTGATGTAGTTGTGGCAGGAAATCACATGGCATTTATGTAAATGGAGTGTCAGGTAGCAACAGGTCACAAAAGCACACCTGATGGTGAAACATGCTTATTACAAGGTACAGACAGAAGTTACAATGTTTACCTGATCTAACCTCTGAAAGCACTCTACAGCCATGACCAAACACAAATGCATACCTCCAGAGCACTAGAAAAGGGCCTGATCCCACAAAAATCTGAACTCTCCCACTGCTGTCTTTAGCATGGGGGGGGGGGGGAAAGAGCAGAGGGAGTTGGATCTGGGGGGTTTTCAGCCAGTGCAGGCCCTCAAGCTGGGAGGGGCTCCAGTCCATCCATCCCACCCGCCAGCGCTGGCTGGAAAACCCCCAGAATGAGCTCCTTCTGCTACCTATCCCCACTCCCATTCTGAAAACAGCACTGGGGCTGGGAGGGGGCAGGGGTCTTGATAGTGGGGGAGAGGATGCAGGCTTGCAGCTGCTCTAACCAGCAGCTCATTCCCCAGGACGCAACAGTGAATGTCGGTTGGGTCTGGGGGATCTTTGTAACTCATGGTGCTTCCTACAAAGCGGGAATGAGTTACAATGGGAAGCTGCTCTTCTGTCTATGCCTACAAAGTACCAGTATTCAGCTTCTGGTTAGGCTACGTGAAACCCAATAGATACATCTGGTCCAAAGCTGGGGCTCATTCTGGAAAAGCCATTCAGATTTCTTGCTATAGACTAACATGGCTGCAGCCTAACAGGTGACTGTGCTGGTCCTAGATTCAGCCTAAACTGTGGATACAACTTGAGTTTTTGATACACGCCTTTAGAAGCTTGGAGGGGGAGAGGAGGAAAGGGAGAAGGAAGTGACCATACAAAAAAGGCAAGGTTAGAAAGGTACCAGACACATCAATACATTTATCTTGGCTTCTGACTAAAGAGTGAAGCATCACAATATCAGAGTAAAAAATTTCTGGAGTATAGGGAGGATCCCATAAAGATATGTGAGGCTGCACTTCTGTAAAATACAGCAGCCTTTTTAGAAGGATAAGCATTTACATTGGAAAGTGCCCTACCTGCTTCTAGGCTGACCTAACCTTACTTGGTGAATGAAGCCTCCCTTGGCAAGTTGAGAAAGTATCTTTGAGAAGTTGCTGCATTTATAGAAACCATAGCCTGGAAACAGAGCACATCATTCCCTAGTGATGCCCAGAATTTTACACTTAGGATAAAATCACCCAAAGTGCCTCTGACTTTAAATGAGGCTTCTAAGTGCTTACATCTCTCTCTGAAAATGTTACATGGGCCCTTAAGTCTCTCTCACACAAAGAATACATTCCTGCACATAGAATGTGTTATCAGCATGTTCAAGGCTGGCATTGCTGATTAGGATTTGCTGCACTGCATAAGGCAAGGAAACCTATATCCATATTTCCCTCCCCATCATTGTGTAGCTCATTACACAGAAAGGAACCACTTCCATAGACAGGTCCAGTTTTCAGGTGCTCCCAACATTTGAGGTCTCTGATCAGGGATCACTGCTGGGATAGGCCCATCTCAAACTTCCAGGATCCTTTTTTCTCCCTTGAACTCAGGCACCTGCTTCTTCTCTCCACCAGAACCCCATCTTCACCTTCTCCCTTCATATATACACATGTCTATTCCATGACAGGAGCCATTCCTCTTTTAGTGCATTTCTTTACCCCCTCCTATCAGTGGAACAATCACAGCTCTACTTAATAATCAATGGAAACTGAATTCTTCTACTAAATGGATGGCTTGTCCTATAGCAGATAAGAGCACATACATGTAAACTGGTGATAACTAGAGCATCAAGGTATGGTCACATTTGTTAAGGAAAAGACTCTCCACCTAATAGCAATGTACTGGTAGTACAAGCCAGCTTAAGTCACAAGTTTAACATCACACAAGAATCACAGACATATGAAAGGTTTCATAGGTTGCATTTTAGGAGATTAAATAAACCTTGTGCCTAAAATATTTTGTCACAAAGGCAAGTGCATTATGACAACCAATAAATCCCTGCTAATACAGCCCCACCACACATTCATAGGGCAATCAGTAATAACAGGAACAAACAGTGTGGGTTCTGGAGAAACAAATGGCTGCTAACAGCCAGCTTTATTCACTCTTTGTATACTTAACTGTCCCAAAACCTGCTGAATCAGTCAAAAGATGATGCAGGACAGTTCCAGAAATAGAGAAAGTCACAATTTGGTACAGTCCCCAAAAAATTATTAGCAGCCACAGTGGCAGGTTTACTGAGACACCATTCAGACCACATGCTTATAAACAACAGATGCATTTCTGAGCTCCACCCTACCCTTCACTCACCCAGTGACCCCCTGGGTCTGCGAGCATCCTCAGGGCGGCACAGTACCCTCCTGCTTTCAGAAGGTTCACAACATGGCATTCTGCAGAGACTCACCATTTCTTTCCAGAAATATACACATTTTTAAAGCTGCTACTTTTCATCAGTAATATACCACAGGCAAGCATTAATTTATATCAGAAGTGTAACCCAGAACTCTCAAACTAAGTAGTGTTTGCTTCTTTCAAGCTCCCAAGACTAACCAACTCACTCACTGCATTAGCCAGTGAATGGAAAAGCTTTGGTATTGGGAATACAATACAAGGGGCGGGAGTCTAATTGTACCTCTTGCTCTATTAAACAGCAGGAAAGGAACCAGCTGTTATACACGCTGAACAGCAAACTAACAACAGCACTTATGGTTCACTAGCCACACCACATGTGGGCAAAAGAAGAATCCCCCTTAAGTCAGGAGGTCACAAACTACATCTCTATCCAAGAAACAAATCCCAGGCAGGCACTCTCAACTGAGGGATGGAGCACAGGCAGCTCTCCATCTCAGCACACCTGCCCTTTGCACAGGACTGCCACCAACAGAGCTGCAAATCACATCCTCCGGTAAGTATTTCAACTACAGATCCGTATGGATCACAGCTGCACCACCAAGCAGCCTTTGGGAAGGGAGAGTCTTCTTGGGCAGATCAGGAAGAACAGTCAGGGGAGGGAAGGGTGCCTTTGCCACAACACTCAGCAGGGTTGTCTGAGCATCTCCCTGCTCCACTGCAGCGAACAGATATCAATGGACTCTGTCAAACAAACTTCAGCTCAACAGGCTGTCTACACCTAATCAAGTTCTCTCTTAGCATGCCCTGGGTCCATCTCACCCTAGTTCATATCACCCTAAGCACTAGCTGAGTTCTCCACCGTCCACAATTGGCCACACACCCAGAGATGAGAAAAAAGCCAAAATCTGTCAATACTCACAGTTTTGAAGTCCTTATGAGTACACTCCTGACCTCTGAACTTGCAGTACAGCATCATATCCTTCAGATCATGCCCCACACGTGCAAAGAACTCCTGCATGTTGAAATTTTTTGGATCATATTTCTTAAAGTTGGTCTTTTCCTGTAAAACTGCCAGGACAGCTGGATCTGCCAGGTGGGGATTAGGAATCTGAAGATTAACATCAAGCAAAGCCAGGAGCTCCCCAGCATGGTACAAGTCATTAGTTGTGAGTCTGGAGAAACGAAACTCATTTAGGTTACAGATGGTGACCGCAGGGAAAACCAGACTTTTGGCCACTACTTCATCCACTTTGGTGACATGCTCGTAAGAGAAGTAGAAAGCCACCCGATCTGAGCTCTCCAGCAAGAGGAAACCCAGTGAGCCCACAAAGGCTATGGTCCACAGCAAACGCCTTATGGTCACTGGCCCATAAACAAATATGTGCCGAATCCCATGGAGGGTAGAGGTGTTGGCAAAAATCTGGATACTGGAGGGCTCCATGCTCTCCATGCTGCCCTCGCTGGCGCTGTCCTTAAGATCCATCAGACTAGTTTGCCAAAATCCTGGCAATGTTTTTTGGGTCAGTCTCCGGACAGACAGAACAGGATCCCTCTCAAATATATTCAAACCTGTATCGATGGGGAAAGAGAGAGAGGAGAGAGGAAGAGCAGATCAGGCCAGCTGCTGTGAGTTTATCCTATGTGCTCAGCAGGAGCCTAGCATGGGTAAATATTTATATAAAAATCCATTCAAACTCTAGCTCTTGATTTCCTCAGAGCGATAAGGAGGGTTGGTTTTATTTAGGGAGACACCAAGGTGATGTGGAAGGGATGTGGGTGGGAAGGGAAAGCTTAGCCAATAGAAATAAAATCCTCCCCCTATACACACACTCACACAGCCACACACACATGCAGGCACATATCGAACAGAGATGAGATTAAGAGCAAGAGCTTAAAACAAGTAGAGGCAGCTCACAGCCTGTTAACCAGTGCATAACGCACGAGGATGTCCACTTCACGGAGCTGATGAATTGCAGAGCAGCGGTGCTTTCAGGCTGATTGCGTGGTTTTATGCTCCGATGTTTCTAGCTGCTAGATTCTAGCATCTCTCTCTCCCCTCCTCCTCTCCACTCTTCTCCATTTTAGACAGGGTTCCAAATGCTACCACCACTCATTCCAAAGATTTCTCAGAGAAAGCTGAGCTGCTGATTTAGAGAGCGAAAAGGGAAGATGTGAAGGAGGAATGCAAGAGGGAGAGAAGGGGGAGTGAAACCCAGAGGAAAAGAGATGCAGATCCATGCATGCCCTAGTGTACATGCACATACGCGTATGCACGCTCTCACACACACACACACACACACACACACACACACACACACACACACACACACACACACACACACACCAGGGAGGCATCCTCTGCTCCTTTCAAACAGCAGCTTAGAGGCTGATTCTAAGAGCAAGGTTGCAAGTAAGGTGCAGCTTCTTCTCTCCTTTCTAATTTCCTTCCTGTCTCTCTCAATTTGAGAGTTCCTGCACTTCAAGTCATTGCAAGGAGCTGGAATCAGTGAGTAATTCATTGATCTGCTGTATTGGTGACTTGTCAGTGGAGGGCCAAGGCTCTATACATCAGACTTACGGATGAGAAACTGCTGGAGGATAAAAGAATTAGAGCGCAATTTCTTCCTGAGGAACTTGAGTTGCTCTGTCTTTAATCAGGCATGCCTCTGCCCATGGCCGTGGAACCTAACAAGCTGCTGCTTTACCTTGGATCTGAGGTTTGCAGTGGGCTCACCTAGTGGAGATCTCCAACACACACCCCTCTCCCTCCTCCCACCCAAGCCAGCCGCACACTTGCAGTTGTTTGTTTTGCCTTTGCCTGCACTCAAAAGGAAGCTGAGATTTACTTTTTTATATCAGGGTTTCCCAGGTGTGAGCTGAGCTGGGAGCCTGAAAGGGGAAGGAAGGTGGAAGTGGAAGATTGAGCATAATGGGGTGCTGGTCTACCAAATTTGCTAGGTAGTTTTCTGTTATAATGGAAGCCAACACTATAGCATCATTACTGCAAGATGTGTATGGGATCACAGCTGTTCAATCCTGAGGCATAAGGCTGCCTGCACTGTGCCCTAAATTGAAGAAAAGTCCTACGCAATGCAAATATTTGGATTCTTACCTCCCTCTTACTACTTACATTAGCCCAGGCTCAGCACAAAGAATCAGGGATTGCTTTTTTAAATTGTTCTGTGCCTAACACAATGGAGAATAGTGGAGTTCTGATGCAGAATGAAGGCTCCCGGGTGCCACTACAGTCCATCACATAAATAACAGAAAAGGTGAATTTCTCCATGCATGTAAATCCTGCCTGCTAGCAGCAGCACAAACATGAAAGAGAAGATTTAAAAGTGCTGGGTTTGTGTTTACAATATGCATGAAGATTTTAGGGATGCTAGAAAACATCTCTGGGCCTCTGCAAGGTCAGGATTTCACCGCAGAATGTTAGAAAGCCCTAAAATGAAGCTTACTGCAAAGACAAATGGGTAGAAATAGCAGAACACCACCTGTAACAGAAACTGGTCATCTGCATCCTATTTGCAACACTTGTGCTAGGGGCAGACATTCAAATCCCTGAGCCTGAATTGATTCAGTCTTTGCAGGTTAGTCTAACCTGCCTAGGCTGAACCAGTTTGCAACCATAAGACATTCCCTCTGGACCAAAAAAATGCAGGCACATGCCTGCAGTGGCTCAGGCTAGAAGCCAGGAGGAACTAGAACAGCCCTTCCTTCCCTTCAACAGTGCTGAGCTGAGGTGGGGGATGGCCAGGCCCCAGCAGGACACTCTGATTAGGGTGGGATGTAAATCCCTACCCTGCCTGCACAGTCCCAGGCTTTTCCCCATTTGCTGCTCAAGAGACGGGAGCTTGCCAGCCCCCAGCTAGCACTCTGACGCCAAGGGGGGAGGGGGGAGGGGAGGTGTGCAGTGCATGCATCTGTTGATACTGAGCTTTTCAGTCTCCCTCTCCCTGCTTCTTCATACTGTCTGCAAACTTGACAGGGCTGCAAACCAGCAGGGGGCTGATGACACAGTGTTTATCAGCCCATCAACAAAACAAAACCCTCTCATTAGTTCCAGCTCTTCTTAAACAGCTTTTTCCAAGGAAGGAATGGAGGGACATTACTAGCTGACCTGTTGATTAGCTCCATAAACCTCTAAGTGGACACTATTCTGTCTGCCTGTCCCAGTGAAATTGGACATACAGACACAGACACCTCTCAGCATTAGCTAGCATACCACATGCCTAGAGTCTGTGGAGCTAGGGTCCATGCTATGGGGGATGGAAGGAAGGGCAGGGGGGTATCCCTGCTTGAGCAGCAAGCAACAAGGAAAGCCAGACAGACCCTGCTGTGCCTGCAGTTAGCTCCATAAACCTCTAAGTGGACACTATTCTGTCTGCCTGTCCCAGTGAAATTGGACATACAGACACAGACACCTCTCAGCATTAGCTAGCATACCACATGCCTAGAGTCTGTGGAGCTAGGGTCCATGCTATGGGGGATGGAAGGAAGGGCAGGGGGGTATCCCTGCTTGAGCAGCAAGCAACAAGGAAAGCCAGACAGACCCTGTAAACCTCTAAGTGGACACTATTCTGTCTGCCTGTCCCAGTGAAATTGGACATACAGACACAGACACCTCTCAGCATTAGCTAGCATACCACATGCCTAGAGTCTGTGGAGCTAGGGTCCATGCTATGGGGGATGGAAGGAAGGGCAGGGGGGTATCCCTGCTTGAGCAGCAAGCAACAAGGAAAGCCAGACAGACCCTGCTGTGCCTGCAGTCTCCCCCAGAGCTCTGGCTATGGAGGAGAGGGGTGGGGCCAGCCTGTTCTCTGGAGCAGAGTGCCCAGCCCAGGGCTGCAATGCATCTGGGATGCTGCGGGACTCTGGTTTAACTTAAACCAGGCGTGGGTCTTGGACAGACATTTCATATACTGGTTTAACCCAAATCAAGAGTGGGTCTTGGACAGACATTTCATAAACTGGTTCAACCCAAATCAGTTAAGTCTGATACTACATTCAACCAGGTTTATCTTAAAGCAGTTTCAGCCATTTTGAAACTGGTTTAAGTGCAATGAACTTATGTTCTGTTATAGGTTTAAACCAGTTTCTAATCTCTTAAACCAGTTTATGTGTAATATCTGCCCCTAGCCTTAGAGTTGAGTCATGAGATGAGTGACATGGCAACCGTGCCATACCTAGACTCCCCAGGCAAACTTTTGATATCGGACCCCTCTTCACCAGAGATAATGATAATAATAAAAGGACAACAGGAAAAAATTACCATTTTTATAGATTTTAATAGATGGTGAATAGAAGATGTCATGTAAAAAAATAGAAAGTCAGATGTTCAAATCATGTTTTTTTATTATAAAATGTTTATATAAACTCCACTCTGTGGTATTTTTTTGTTGCAAAAGTCTTTATCACATCTGTGGTATTGATGCATTAAAATAGTTTGTTATCAATTGATAACGTTGTCAGTCCTGTATATGCACAATATTAAAACTTTTTTTTGCAATTGTAATTTTTTTTTTCATTTTTGGGCCCCCTTTCTGTCCAGACCCTGGGCAGCCACACAACTCACCCATGCCTGTATCTGGGTCTGCATGGAAACCATCAGTTTGAATCCTGATAAGGCATATCCATGCTGAGTGCTACATGGGCTTGGTTAGCGTATATGAAATTTTGAGATAGGACCTGCATGATTCAAAGAGGTGGTGGGGTAGCAGGCTTCAGCCTGGAAGTATATGAATCCACAGTTATCTTAAAGGAAGGAAGTGATGTCATGAGCAGATGCAGAAAAGGGGTAATTTTACTGCAATAAATTGTTTGTTAAGAAAGAATGTGGAAGAGAGAAAGAGAGAGAGTCTGCACTAGATGAGCGAGGAGGAAATGGAAGGAGCTTATCATTAGGCAACTTGCATTCGGTGGCAGCCTGCCCCTTGAAAAAAATCCTCTCCGTGTTGTGAATGCTTCAGGCACCTTGGACTTGTCCCAACCCAAAGCCAGCTTCCAAACTTCTGTCTCACCCTTTCTATGTAAGCTACCTCTTGCCTGTTGATACAATGTGCATCAGCTTGGCGAACACATTTGTGACTGTTCTGGGCCCTCCCAGAGCTAAAAACATGAGCTGCTACAGCTTGAGTGAATAGCAGGTGCCTTTGCTGACTAGGGTTGTAGCATAACCATATCTTTACAGATCAGATGAGGGAGGATGTCCATACACACAGTGGGAGATGCCAGCCCCTTTGCATGTGCCATCCCTTCTCATCTCCCTCTAAACAACAGGTCCCACGTGCCGGAAAGCTTGTGACAAGCCCTGCTCTAAAAAAGCCAAAATCCACTACAACTCTGGCTAGGGGTTGTCCTTCAGGATATGTCCTGGAAAACTCCACAGCACACTGCATGTCCTGATCCCCTCTGGTGCAAGGATTTCAAAGCTGTCTACAGCTATTGATAAGCCTGCTATTTGTATAACCCACTTCACCTGACAGACAGAAAAGCTGATGGGCAAGGAATTTGACTTACTGGGCCAAGGTCACACAGAGAAAGTCACTACCAGAGCTGGCAAAAAAACTGTATCCTGTGGTATAACCCCAAGGCTACACTCCTTTCCTGAGACAAGTAGAAGGCAGGAGTCTTGGCGCACAGCCCCATGCCCAGACCATGCATGGAAGAGAATAGTTCACAGAGATGACTGCAACATGAACAATTCTACACAGTGAAGGGCAGAAGGAGATTAAACAGGTGGTGTGAGGAATATGCCTACTAACTGGATTTGCTCTCCACCTCCATTTCTTCTTAATGCTTACAAGCCTCATGTCAGAACACGCAGTGGTATGAAGGAAAATGGAAAGCCATCTTGCACTTGCTTCCCTAGATCATAGACCAGCTGGTGCGGCCATAAGGGGGGCTCCAATCCATGCTCCCCACACTCTAGCACCAGCTGAAAAAAACCCCAGACTGAACTCACTCCACACACCCCCATTGTAAAGATAGAGCTGGGAGCAGGGCTGAGCTACATCTTCATCTGAACCCTCACGCAATGAGGGTTCAGATTGTCATGGGATTGGGCCCTTGTAATGCGCTCTGCAGCCCTACACTTGTGGCTGTAGAGCTTTTTCAGGGGCCAGATCAAGCGAAAATTGTCACTTCTGTCTGTGCCCTGGGTGCCTAAGTGGCGTCCCACCTCTACAGCACTGCACTCAGAAAGAAAATGATATATACACACACCACAAGAGCTCAGTGGCTACTGAGCATAAATCCTTCTGCATGGGTTAGGGAGAATTTATCTCAGCCTTCATTTCTACACTATCCAAGCACTTCACTATTAGAGTCCATGTGCCCACCAACACAACAATGAGGCAGGGCAGTGCTTTTATCCCCATTTCATAGAGAGGGGGCTGAGCCACCTATAGATTAAGGGGCTTGCCAATGATCACACAGGACAGGAAACTGAACCTGGATCTCTAAGGCCCAAGCCAAGGCCTTAAACCTGGATTGTCCCTGATCTCCATCTCCTTTCTGAAACTGATGCCTCTAGGACTGGAGGCATCCATCCTAGAGGATGTGAACCCAGCATTCATTCCTGCCTGTGGTGGGGGTCAGGCTAGATGATCTGTTCA